TTTTAAAAAGTAACAGCTTTATTGAGATATAATTAATATGCCATAAAACCAATCATTTAAAGTGTAATTCAGTGGGACGCCTGGGTGGCTCAATCAGTTAAGCGTCGGACTCTTGATTTCAGCTCAGGTCATGATCTCGGGGTCCTGGGATTGAGCCCTGTGTCGGGCTCCCAGCTCAGCAGCAGGGAGTCTGCTTCTCCCTCTCCCTCTGCCCCTCCCCCTTCTCTAGTACTCTTTCTCTTTAAAATAGATAAGTAAATCTTAAGAAAAATAAAAAATGAAGTGCATAATTCAGTGGTTTTTATTATATTCACAGGCTGTGCAACCATCTCCACTGTCTAATTGCAGAACATTTCTATCACCCCAAAAAGAAACCCCATATCCTTCAGCTGTCACTCTCTATTTTTCCCTCCCTAAATCCCCTGCCAACTGCTAATCTTACTTTTTTAATTATTATTTTTTAAATTTAAATTCTAGTTAGTTGACATATGGTTCAATATTGGTTTTAGGAGTAGAGTTCAGTGGCTCATCACTTATGTACAAGACCAAGGGCTCATCACAACAAGTGTCCTCCTTAATGCCCATCAGCCATCTAGCCCATCCCCCACCCACCTCTCTCCATCAACCGTCAGTTTGTTCTCTCTCATTAAAAGTCTCTCATGATTTCTCTCCCTCTCTCTTTTATTCCCCCCTCCCGTATGTTCATCCATTTTGTTTCTTAAATTCCACATATGAGTGAGATCATATGGTATTTGTTTCTCTGACTTATTTTGCTTAGCGTAACATTCTCTAGCTCCATCCACATCATTGCAAATGGCAAGATCTCATTCCTTTTGATGGCTGCATAATATTCCATTGGGTATGTATACCCCCTCTTCTTTATTCATTCATAAGTCGATGGGCATTTGGCCTCTTTTCGTAGTTTGGCTACTGTGTAATCTACTTTCTCTGTGGATTTGTCTCTTCTGGTTAGTGCATATCAATAGGATATGTGGCCTTTTGTGTTTGGCCTGTTTCGCTTAGAATGTTTTTGAGGTTCATCTCTGTTTTAGCATATCTCAGTACTCTGTCCCTTTTATGGCTGAATAATAACCCATTCTTTGGATATACTGTTTTGTTTGTCCACTTATCACTTGATGGACATGGGTTGTTTCCGTGTCCTAGCTGTTGTGAAGAAAGCAGTTATGTACATTCACGTGTAAGTTTTTGTGTGGACATATGTTTTCATTTCTCTTGGGTATATAGCTAAGATCGGAATTGCTGGGTCGTATGGTAACTGCATTTACCTTTACTGAGGAACTTCCAGATAGCTTTCCAAAGTGACTGCACCATTTTACATTCCCTCCAGGAATATGTGAGGGTTCATTTCTCTACATCGTCTCCAACACTTGTCCTCTTTATTGCAGCCCTCCTGGTGGGTGTGCTCTCATTTTATGGGTAAGAAAACGGATGGTGCATTGTTTACCAAAGTTCATAGAGCCTAGTAGGTTGCCAAGTTAGAACTTTTTCTTTCTTTAAAGCAAATACTTGTATGATGCATGCTCTGTGCTAGGCATTATTTAAGTCTTTTGCTCTTACTATTTATTCTTTACAACAACCTGAAAGGAAGGTACTGTTATCATCTGGTTTATAAATGCATACAGGGCAGGACTGGGCCTAGAGCTGGGTTCCTTGGGCACAACACTGAAGGAGACAGCACTCTGAGATTCCACCAGCACCTACACGACCCTTCCGTGCTGCATCCTGTGTGCCTCACTGGCCTCATCCTAGCCCTGACCCTGTGTGAAGAAACTGACACAGCGGAAGACGGAGTAACTTACCCGAGCTGCATAAGTCAGTACATGGCACAGTTGGGATTCCAACCCAGGAAACCTGGCTTCAGAGCTCAAGCCATTAACCACTATGCTGTGCTCACACCTAGGCCTTTGATGCCCAAACTGGGCTTTTTTCTGTTTCTTTCTCAAGACCTACACTTCCCAAATTTGACAAGTGAGGAATGCAAAGTAAAATCCCAAAGATGGGTTATAGGGAGACCAAACAGAACTAACTGAGCTCACAGCTTGCCAGGTACCTACCGCATGTTCCCTGGAAGGGTTAACTAGCCACACAGTTTCCCTTGGCCACATCTGTGCTTGTTATCCCAACACTGCATAAATCTGCCTAGTTCGTGTCGGCCACCCTGCAAGTGTCCAGATGGACCCTGTCCTGGTGGGGAAGGGGCCATCCTGAACTGTCAGGATGATGAGTTCTGCCCGCTGTAAGGAAAACACATGCTCTCTTGGCCAAGTGGCGATGAATCTGCCCTTCGATCCAGCATCCCGATTCAAGGATGCAGAAATCACATCTCTCACAATCACACCCCAACTGGCGGCTCACTCTTGTTAGCCTGTTTATCAGAGTTAACCGCTCGTTTGTTTTTGAAACATCATCTTTCCAGTGGTGATGCTGTTCCTGTGGGTTTTGCATGGTTCTCCATTTAGGCCGAGGCTCCTGGAAGGTAACGTGGATACAAAAATGTTCATCCTCGGGGTGATGGGCGGTCTTTGGAAAGATGCTTACCCAAGTCATCAGCCAACAGGTTCTCCCTCTGCTGCCTCTGTTCCCCAAGAGCAGGATCAAGTCAGTCCCAGTTCAGTAGCTCTCGGTAGGTGAGATGCAGCAGTGCATCCTGGCCCAGGCCAGCAGATTTCTGTTACGTCAGAAGAAAATTTTACAGCTGTTGTTCTCCATTAAAAATGGTCACTCTTGGGGCACCTGGGTGGCGCTGTCAGTTAAGCCATATGACTCTTGGTTTTGGCACAGGTCATGATCTCAGGGTGTTGAGATGGAGGCCCTTGCTGGGAGTCTGCTTGAGTTTCTCTCTCCCTATCTCTCTGCCCCTGCCCCCTACTCTTGCACACTCTCTCTCTCTCAAATCAATCAGTAAATCTTTTAAAAATACAATCTTTTATGGTTGCATTTTTACCCTTTTGTTTGGAATTTCAACTCCTCAAAGCTATGGGACTCTGGACCAGCAGCACCAGCAGCACCTGGGAGCTTGTTGGAAACGCAGAGTCTCAGGCCCCACCCCAGACCAACTGAATCAGAGTCTGCCTTTAACAAGATCCCTAGCTGATTCCTGGGCACATCCAAGTTTGAGAAGCACTGCTCCATGTGTCCTCATTTCTCTATAACCAAGCTGGCATCTCCACCCAGCGTTTACTTTGAGGCTGGAATTCTTGGTAGGCTTTCAGATCTTAAAAAGAAAACACACACACACATATAGAAATTCTTTCCCTCGCCTTTACATGATGTCATTCATTTTACCTGGCCTGCCACAAGAAAGAAAAAGGCAGATTACATCCAAGTTATATATATATTTAAGACTAACTTCTTAATTGCCTGTCTTAAAGCAGCACACTGGATCCCCCACCATTAACAGAGTCCCAAGTGTTGCCAAGATTAATCGAGAAATGCCTCAAGGCAAAATAAACACTGTAGCACAGTTTAATTCAAAACCATATCAGCTAAGAATGAAGGTGCAATTAGTGATAAAGATGTTAATAATTAGTTGTGGTCTGTTAAATTTTATATTCAGTGGTTACATAGAATGAAGAAAGAATTTCCTCATGAGGACAGAAATTAATGTTTCACCTTCATTGCTATTTTAATGGGGCCATCCTGTAGAAACCCTTGGGCACATTTCCAATTTTACATAAATGTAGAATTAATTATTATGGAAGCATATAATTTTAGAGCTGGAATGACCTTCATGGTCATTAGATCCAGCTCAGACATTTTACAAAGAAGAAATGATTTCGTCAGGTCCTGCCACAGAGTATTGGAACCTTGCTCCCCAATTCAGACCAGTGACAGTGAAACCCCTTCTCACATCCCTGCAGACAGAAATGCTTCTTTTTGCCTCAGAAGTCCCACAGCTTTGAGTTGAAATTCCAAACAAAAGTGTGTAGTTGCTCGCAAGTCCCTTACTCCACCTTACCCCACCTTACCCCACCATGTTCTGGTTGCTTTCTGTTGTAAGGTTGCTTGGGAACCATATCTGACTCACTTTTATATTCTGACCATTCCTAGCTCTGGGTTTTGTAAACAGTAGTCGCATAATGAATTTAACATGCAGTGTGGTGTGCTGGAGCTGTTCTATCTCATTCACTAGAGCTGGTTGTGTCTTTATGATGGTGGCTTGAGATTGGCCGTGGAGGAAACATTTACACCCTGGATGTAGATAAATGCCACAAACCAGGGCTATCTCCACCCCACCCCCGAAAACCAGCACACAACTGTTTATGTGATTTTTCTAAGGTCACAAGGCAGCAGGTCTTGACAAAATCTAAAGATTATACCAACACGAAGATGCCTGTTCACCCAGTGTTCAGCGTATGTTGCCTCAAGAGTGATGGATAGCCAACTGTTTGACCTCCTCTAATTTCTTTGGGGATTAATTTTGACGGAGAGCAAGTCAGGCCTCAGGGCTGCATTAGGGTGTGGTTGCTTAGCTAAATTCCACTTACCTGGAAAAGCTATTTGGGCATGAATGGTAAAGGAAACTGGTCTGAAATATCGGGCACAGTTGAGTGAGAAAAAAAAAACCCCACAGATTATTTTCAGAGAAAACAAATGAACAGGAAGTTACTGTGGCCAAAATTACAATTATATCCTTATACTTCTCAAAAAACCTCAGTGGCTCCCTACAGCCTGCAAACAGGCCCAAAGGCCCTGCCGTCAGTCACATACTGACCACAGCTTACTGTTCCAACCTCATTTTCCACCACTCACGTCGCCCACCTTCTTTCGACTTTCCAGCCTCTGTGGAGCCCCTCTGCGCCAGCTTCCATGACGTTCCCTTCTCCTGGAATGCCCTCCCTCTACCTCCCTGGTCCACCATAGGCTCTGTGCCAGAGTTTCCATCCCTCCCCAGTCCCCTCCATCGTGGACCACAGCTTCGGGGTTAACACGGAGCTTCCTGTGACTCGGTTCATCTCCGCTTGTGTGTCTTTCTTTAGGAGCAGGACCCGCGGTCCCATCGGCCCTGGCAAGTATGGCTACGGGAAGGCCCCGTACATCTTACCACTGCAGACGGACTCCGCACACTCGCCGCAGAGGCTTCGGAGGCAGAGGCCCCCGTCCCGGCATTCCAGGGCCCAGGGGGCATCCGGTCCTAGCCATGGCTACGGCCCGCCGGCCCACCGGGCTCCCCAGCACGGGCCTCTGTACCAGAGTGACGGTGGCCCTCGTTCTGGACTGCAGACCTCCAAGACCTCCCTCTACCAGCAGCCCTTGACCCACGACCAAGGCTTTCCCTCAGCTTCCAGTCTCTTCCACGGCCCGGAAACCAGCAGCAACCATGGCATGGGGGCCCCCAGGGCAGCTCAGAGCTTCTCGCAGCCCGCCCGGTCTGCAGCCATCTCCTGCATTGGGGCCTATCGGCAGTACAAGCTGTGCAATACCAATGTGAGTACACACGGCCTCACGCCGGCCTGGGGACCACTATAGCTCCTCTTTCTGCGGTGCCGTCACGTGGAAGACAGCGAGGGCCCAGTCCCTTAGGCCATGTTAATGCACCCGTATATCTTCTCTCCCTCTCTCTTCTCTCCATGAGTTCTCCATGGATACTTCCCCTTTTCGTAAGGTTGTGACTTTAGTAACTTAGGAATAACTTCTTGAAGGTCGCAGTTGCTGCGTATCACACAACCTCCACATTCTCAGGGGCGTCGTATCAACAATATTTATTCTTTGTGCACAGGTCGGTGGGTCAAGGGCAGTTTGGCTAGTTTAGGGCTGAAGGTGGCGGTGCCCAAGACGTGGGAGTTGGCGGAGGTTTGACCAGCATCCGTATGTTCCAGTCAGTGTGCTGCCATTCTAGGCATGAGCACTTTGGATATTGTATGATGAAAAAGCCTGAGAGTGAATAACTTGCTGAAGATTCCATAGCTAATCAGTAGCAAAGCGAATTATAAATGGGAACTACATAAGATGACCAAATGTGTTTTTTTTAAAAAAAAAATATCAGTTTAAAGAGTATATCTAAAGGAGAAAGGAATAAGAGAATGTTCAAAGGTTAAATTTCCAAGTTGCTCTATTTTTCATTAATAATTTAATCTGCCTTAATATTCTGTTACTGGGCAACAGGACAGCTGTTACATATTAGCTTCAATTTCCTCATTAAAAATATATTTCCTGCTATAGAGTCCATAGAAACGACTTAATTTGTGATCTTAATTCCTCTGAATGCCTGGATTGCTTTTTAGCCTGTTCTTCCACTGACAGACTTCAGGAATTATTAATTTTTGTAAAGCAGTAATTTCTCTAAAGCCATTACAAATCAGTCAACCATTAAGTCTTAATTAAGCATCACTGCTTGCTTGTAACGGACCGGGAGACATGGAAGATGAAAGAAAAGTATTATCTATCTGGTAGAGTCGTTAGGAGGATCAAATGAGGTGATGTTAAGACAGGGCTTTATAAATCGAAAAGAAATACTTGTGTCCGTGATCATACATGGTCCTTGTTCTTGAATATCATTACTATCCTTTTAAGGATCTTTAAGATTCAGGGGCACCTGGGGAGTTCAGTCAGTTAAGCATCCGACTCTTGATTTCAGCCCAGGTCATGATCTCAGGGTCGTGAGGTAGAGCCCCGTGGCTCCGTGACAGCCTCCGAGGTGGGCGTGGAGTCTGCCCCTCCCCCACTCTCTCTCTTTCTCTCTTAAAAAGAAGTAAAATTAAAATCTTTTAAAAAATAAATGAAATGAATTCATCTGTAATGTAGAACACAGTCTCGCATTGACTAGTATGTTTCTTAATTTTGAAGACCACATAAATCATAAAGAGAAAGAAAAAGAGAGAAAACATTTGGCACATATGTGGACCTGGTATCTACTTAGTATTTCTGTCACTTCACCTACATTTTGCAAGTACGCACATTTTGCTAGGCCTGTGCTGCTGACAGCAGGGCCACCTCTCTCCATGTGCACGTTGTAGCTTTTCCGGGTACTGGGATGACTCCACTACTAAGGACATTGAATTGCAAGGAATCTTAGAAAATGCTTGTGAATTTATGATGTCTGCCATCATTTGGCAGCTGGCAAAGTAACACCGCAAACCCAGGACAGAGACGTCAATGTCGACAAAAGATTATATAGCTTTAGTTCCGTTTTCTTGGCTGTAACATTTCACACAGTGTCCTCCCCAGTGCACCCCATCATCTCAACTCCCATCCTACTAACCCTTACTGAGAGATGCCATTCCTTAGAGGTCCCATGACTGCCCGTCTTCTTTTTATAAGCCCATGGCTTCTTGGCTCTTGGGTCATCCCCTATCCCCCATGAACACCTTAACACTCCCTGTGTTAGGGCTCCCTAAGACCTCTCCTAGGGTTTGATGATCTGCTGGGAGGACTCATAGCTATGATTTATTACAATAAAAGGATATAGAGCAAAATCAGCAAAGAGAAAGGCACATGGGACAAAGTCTAGAGGAAGCCAGGCACACACTTCCAAAGTCCTCTCCCAGTGGAGTCACACAGGATTTGCTTAATGCCCCCAACCAATGAGTTGTGACAATGCATGTGAAGTGTTGTCTACAAGGGAAGCTCGTTAGAGACTCGGTGCCCAAGGTTTTTACTGGGGGCTGGTCGCAGAGGCACCCTCTGCCTGCCACATACCAGAATTCCAGACTCCTAGAAGGAAAGCAGGTGTTGAGCATAAACTATATTGCTAATACAAATAGTTTGGGCAAAGTGAGTCACTCTTATCACTCAGGGAGTGATGGAAACCCTTCTGAAATCCAAGTTCCCAGATGCCAGCCAAGGACCATTCTTGCGAGCAAGCCCTTCTGAAGAGAGCTGTTTCAGTCCTGCTGTGTGGAGTCTTATTTGCACACTTCCTGTGTGGACCCATGTGCTCCGTCACCTTAGCATGGATGACCACATGTGGACATTTATGTACCCTCCCCTACCAGTGGGCAACATGAAGAGGTAACATGAATCTCCAAATTGTGTAAATTTCCTACTCCAAGATGAAAGAGCTGAAGGGCAGTATTGTGAAAAATTGTACCAGTCTCCCGGGGAATACAGGTTATCACTTATGTCCTCTCCAAAGATTAAAAAGGAATATGTGCATTTAGAGATTTCTCCCCGTTCCTATCTGGGAGACGAGAAAGAAGGGAAGTTAGGCCAGGGCATGTTGGAAACATCCCCTGATTTCAGAACTCCATCCCTTAAACTAAGTGCCCAGTAGATCCCACTCAAGTTCTCGATGGAATACCCCACTTGCTAAGACTACCCCCACAGTGGAGGTCTCAGTTGTGACCTCCACTATATGGTGATGCATATGAGGGGTGGTGTGAATGCTTTGGCAGGCTTCCAGATCTGGAAACAGTATCTCATCACTGCTCACAGTCCCTCCCTCAACACGCTTGGGGTCCAGGGGCAGAGAAGGTGCCCAGTGCAGCGGCCTGGATGTCATTGCCCTTGGTGCTGGAGCACCTGGGGACAGGGAGGAACTCTGGGAGCACAGAGCAAGGCCACTGGGTTGGGGAAGACTCCACTAAAGAGGGAACAGTTGAGCTGAGCTTCTAAGGTTGGCCAAAAGAGAGAAAAGGGCATTTGGGGGCAAAAGAAAGAGCTTAGTCAAAGACAGGGAGGCAGGATTGTGCCAGAGCCTCAAAAGGCGCCGAGACACCTGCCAGGTTGTAGGGCCCTTCCTTTCTTAACCTCTGGCCTCCTCCTGTCCACTTTAAATAATCACAATTTTAGTGGGCATTTTGTTCTTTAACATCTCAAAATACAGAGATTTCATATGGGCCTTGCTTGACTTCTATACATGAGGTAGATGCGTGAGAAAACATTTAGAAACACAGTGCAGAGTGAGAAAGCGATCTAATCAACTGGTTTAATTGGGGTTAGGCTGCAGGGCATCTGAAATAGTGGACTCAGGAGCAGGCTATGCTGGACACGAGCCCCAGTTTCCTTGGGCAAGGCGCTCAACTCCCTGGGACCATCTGGGAATCGGCGATAATAACAACACCTGAAAAAAAAGAAAAAAAAAATAACAACACCTGTTCCACAGGGTTGATCGTGCACACTAGGAGCTGATATGTTAGGAAATACGGTAGTTTGACCTGGGGAAGTAAACGTGGCTCGAGTGCCTCTCCGGAGCTTGGAGCGGAGCAAAGTCTCGCCCTGTCACTTTCCAAGTGCTCAGTCACGAAATTGTGGTTGAGGTGGTCAGACTTGCTCAGAGTCCCCTTTTGTCCTCTGGATTACCTGGGGTTCAGAGTCCTTTTCCCTTCGCCCATCAATAAAACACGATTGCTGGGGTGCCTGAGTGGCCCAGTCAGTTAAGCATCTGCCTTCAGTTCAGGTCATGATCCCAGAGTCCTGGGATTGAGCTCGGCATCGGGTTCCCTGCTCCTTGGGGAGCCTGCTTCTCCCTCTCCCGCTCCCCCTGCTTGTGCTCTCTCTCACTGTCTCTGTCAAATAAATAAAATCTAAACAAAACAAAACAAAACACAATTGCCAAGAGCCCCAACATGTCAAGTGTAATGTAGCTTCCGTGCAGTCACCCTTGGGTCAGGTGTAAAGTGATAAGAAAATGAAACTACAGATAAGTTCCTGCCAGTGAATGCTTACCACCCTCAAATGTGCATGTTTAATGTGAAGCCCCACCTTGTGATGTCATCTGGGAATTTTAAACATCTAGTGTGTCTTTAGGATTGTTTGACTCCTATTAAGATGTCCTTTATGAAATACTATAAAATAAATAATAAATGCAGTCCTAATGATCTCTGCATGTAGACTTTAAAGATAAGGAAGGGTTTTTTTTTTTGACATTTTATTTATTTGAGAGTGAGAGAGAGCATGTGCTGGGGGAGAGTCCAATGGAGAGGGAGAAGCAGGCTCCCTACTGAGCAGGGAGCCCAATGCTGGGCTCAATCCCCAGACCCTGGGATCATGACCTGAGCTGAAGGAAGATGCTTAATCGACTGAGCCACCCAGGCGCCCCAAGGAAGGGTTTTTTTGGTTCTGTTTTTCTTTTTTTTCTTGCTTACATTGTATGTGAGGAAGTTAAGGTGACAAGCCCCAGTATAACTAGAGACGGTTTCGGTCTTTTAGAGCAGACACCAATCTTCGACCTCTACTGGTACAACACGCCAGGCCACTCGCTAGTGTGGGTTCTTACTTGGAGTCCATAAACACAGCATTGACATTGGTGGTGGGGTCAGGCATGAGGCTGTGGGTCAGGGGCACTGAGATAAAGGCAAGTCCTGGCTCTCAGTGGCTCACAGCCCAGTGGGAGAGACTCCTAAATAGATCGTGACAACTATGGAGCACAGGCACCACTGCATGTGCTGGGAGGCTCTTTGAAATCATAGTAGGCCCGGCTTGGCCTCCTGGAGAGGTACAGGAAGGTTTTCTAGGGAGGGGGAGTGACAGGGGCTCCCAGAAGGGCT